CCACACACACCCTGGCAGTTGCCTGGCATTGCTCCTTAGGTATCATTTGTGTTTGTGCTCCTCTCTCCAAGCTGTACCTTGGGTCTCTTTGATACCTAACTTGGAAAGGACGTATGCTGATTATGGAAGAAACTTAGTGTCACCCTTATCTATCCCATTCCCACCCTAGAAAATGTGAGGCCTTGATATTACATTATTTTCGTCTGATGTATTGATAAATTGGGATGCCTCACATATAAAACATTGACTTGAAGGCTTCCAGTCGCTTCTAACATATTTTGTGTTTTAACTTTCATTGTGTTGGGTGGGAGGTGTGGGGATAGGAGAAGAGAGAGAAATGGCAGAGAAGAAGGAAAATTTTCAGCCTTCCAAACCTGTTAATAGCGAACTTTTAGTCCAAAGTTTTAACATTAACTGTCTTTTTAAAAAACAAAAACATTGTAGTTAGATCCTATCAATAGGCATAAATGTTAACACTAACTTGCCCCCCCATTCTGAATGCCTCCCTCCAGATAATATTTCTGCTTAATTGTAATATGCTAAATGACACTAATTCTGCTGTTAACAGTTTTTCTGCCTCAAGTTGGCTGTTTAGTTTTGAGGTTAAACCTTTTCTGGTGTTTGCAATAGAGTCTGTATTCTCAAAGGACTCCTTTAGATTGAACAAATATTTATTTTAAGGGGAAAACAATTAAGTGAACATCTTGAAAAAAAGTAGGTATTAGAAAATTATGAGGTAGCTAGACTCAAACTTTTAGCCGCTGTTTGGATGATAGAGTAGTTCTAAAAATTATTTTTGAAGAGAGGAACAGAAGAAAGCAGGTATTTTTCCTTTCTTAAATTTCTTTCAAGTATTCTAGTGGTAGGTTTTTTTTCTTCCCCTTTTAAGTTATTAGTTTGTCTCCATAATCACTAGGTTTAAAAATTGTATTTGAACTTTAATATGGTTTTTAACATTACTGTTTTACATTGACTGGATAGTAAAAGACAGTGCATCTCATCTTCAGATTTGCCATGTGCTTTTAGAAAAAAATGTTTTATTTGTGAACCAGTTTAGTTTCTAAGATCCTAAAAGTAAATTATTTCCTGTGCAATCCTCTAATTTTTGGTTTTACATTATTTAATTGGCTGAGAAACCAATACTGAACATGTGAAAAGAGAATATATGCTATTTAACTTCCAAAAGAAAGTACTTCTAGTTTTGTAGATAACCTGGTACTCTTATTTAATTTAAAAATATTTTCTATTTTCTAATGTTTGTATGAGAAACTAACTTCAGCTGTAAACTTTTACCTAAAGCACAATAAAATAAATAAATAAATATTGGGGAAAAAAAGAATTTTTTTTTTTTTTATATTTTCTTGTTTGTTTTAACTTCCGATGCAGAAAGTTAAACATTTGTCTTTTTAACACTTGTCTTTAAAACCTGATCCTTGGCTAGCAGAGTTGAAATATCTTAATATTTGAATTGTGTGGCCCAGGATTTGAGACCAAGACACTGAATGTTCCAGCTGTCCTAAATTTGAGTTCTTTTCTTAGTAAGCTTACAATCCAACTAAGTAGTTGAACTGGACAATGTAAAGGGAGGTTGGGGAAAATAATGGAAATGTATTTTTGCATCAATCAACATTATTAATGGGTGAATAAGCTCATTGTAGGGTCATCTTTCATCTATGAGTCAGATTGGTTTGTTTTTGGTTTTGAGGGCAATCTTTGTTCTCTGATTTTTTTTTTCCTTCACTCATTGATTGGTATTTGTGTAGTGCCCTTCTTGTGTGGTACCACTAGAGATTGTGCACAAAAGGTAGTGTAATGTGATACTGCTTTAATTTTTGGGTTTACATCTGTCTTTTGAATGGATTCCTACCAGCTTAACAATAAGGATATTAATTAGCTTGAAATCAAGGAAACCTGATACTTACTTCCTGATTATTATTTATCCCAGATTTTCTGAGTTTGAAGGAAATGGAGGTTCTTTCCTCCTATATTGGAAATATTTTAAGAGTTAACTGAAATTTTAAAATCCTCTTCCATGGTATTCAGTTAGGGCTTAATGTTTTGTTTAGGGCATATTGATTCACAGGAAGTCTCTTGCCTTGTTATAATAGCCCTCAGTAAATTCTTGAGATAGAAAGCCAAAGATGGTAAGGGCTTTTTACATTGTAGTTTAGGTTCCAGAGAGATGTGTTGGGTATATACAAAGTGAGAAATTATTTTACTTTTCATTTGTTTTCTTATCCAGAGGACCTGTTTTATATGGCAGTAAATCAGTTGCTGCCTGGAAGGAGCTAACGTTAAAACATATCTCAGCAGAACAGAAATATTTTTCACAACTTTGCCTTATTGTAATTATAACAGGTTTTGTTAATACCAATCATAAAGTATTAATAACACCCATATTAACAAAATTCCTTTCTACATCTATGCATATTTGTTTGAATACTCATAGATAAGTCATCAAAAAATGATATCAGGTTGATATTTAAGTCCAATTCTATTTTTTTTTTAAACGTTGGTATATATGTTTTTTAGCAGTTTTTTTTTTTTTTTTGACATTGATATAAATGTTCTTAGGTTTTGGATGTCGTCTGTCCAAAATGGCAACCCTACTTTAAATTCTTTTTGCACTGAAGCCTCAACTGATGTCAAGTGCTTTTGTGTTTCTTTCCCACCTATTGCTGCTAACGAATGCTCTGACTTTATTGCACTACTGTACTTTACAGCTAGCAGTGCAATAGTATTGTCAAAGCATCTGAAAGCAGGATGCACACCAGGATTTTGATTCTTGCCTTACATGTTTCTTCAGTATCTGTGAGTAATTTACCACTGTATAATTTTGTTACAAATAGTATGTCTTTAAAAAAAAAGTCATAATTTGGGGAAAAAAAGAACTTTTAACTAATTAAAAACTCACTACTGTAATAATGCTTTATGAAACAAACTGAGAGAATACTTTTTATATCTAAAGTCGTTATGGCTTGTCTTAAATGAGTAGTAGTGCTTTGTACTTTGCTTCTTTCTCTAGCAGATTTGGGTATGTTCTGGCAAATCTTGTGTTTATTTGAGTTATATGATGCATTAGTAAGTGATAAAAGCAATTTCTGCTGTATAATTCCCATGATAACTTGCTCCAAACTTTAATTGGTATTGATTTGTGTATTGTGAAGGAAATGCTTGAATTTAAAACTTAAGAATGCATGTCTTAAAGTTTTTTTTGTAATTATGAAATATGATAATGTGTGAATTAATCTTGTAATTTTTTTGTAATCAGTTTTATTGAGATATAATTTACATACAATAAAATTACTTATTTTAAGTATACAGTTGGATG